TACTCCCCAAGGACAGGGCTTTCCCTTCACATATTGTTTTACGGAAAGTTTTTCTGTGTAAGGAATCATTTGCTCGTCAAAACTAAGTACTTCCTCAAGTTCAAGCTGTAAACATCTCTTTCTGACAGCGTCGATGATAGGACGAACCTTATAAAATTTATCTGTATCACCTGCTGGTCTTTCCAAATTGTTCACTAGATGTAAACATGTTCTAAGCTGGAAAAATCTGTCCCTAGACATGTTATCTAGGAACATTCTAATACCATGGCTTATTTCCCAGTACATCCTAATTTTGGGAAATTTGTTTAAATTTCCAATCATTATATGAAGTGCAAATAAAATTTTTAATTTCTCTCTTATTAGTTGGTCTAAATTTTCTTTCCGTTATGTAAGGCATATACGTTTGTAAATGTTGCTATATTTTCAAACAAATTATTTCAAATATACTTCGAAAAATACTGAATTGGATACAGTGGCTCTGTAAGACTTGTATTTGGGGAAGTAGGATGCCATGTAAATGTATGAGTCTCTATCGATGCCTTAGTCCACTCTGTTACCTCGGGGTAAATGGAAGGGGTCTATATCACCTTCTGTACCACCGCGTGCTCTGTAGAGGGCTTCGAAAACATCAACGATAGCTCCTCTACTTAAGTCCATTTTCAGGGTATGGACTCGTAAATGTTTTCTTCTGGTATCTTGCCTTGAAAAAGGCAAGATATTTCTTACATGACAAAGGTTAAGTCGAAATAAAAATACCAGGTTGCAGTAGAATAACATCTCAGCCACAGAGTATGGGAAAAGCTAAAAAGAAAGCAGAGCCCCGAGAGCACTAAGCTCTCGGAGAGCCCGTGAAGGACTGACTTGATTGACCTGAAAATCGCCTATTTTTATACTTTCTGAAGTAGCGATTAGGGATTTCCAGGTCAGGGAGGGGCCAACAGGAAAAATAAGGGGCGGGGCGATGCGTCTCGAACGTGAACTAGTCGCGTCCGAGAACAACTCTACGGTTCTCTTTTTTGTTTTAATTTCTCTTTGTTTTGGTTTTTTAGAACAATTCTCTTCTGAGAAACATACTTTACTTCCTATTTTTTTTTGTACCCGAGTAACCTGCAACTTAATCTGGTATATATTCGTCGTCTGAATCATTAGTTCTTCCTAACTCCTCATTATCATTTTCGCTACCATCACCTTCTTCCAGTGTCTCAGTGTCACGTCTGGTAAAAGCATCAACCAATGGTCTTATAATAGATTTATTCTCACAGTTATCCAGAATTTCATCCTCTTCGTCAGAACTCTCTCCTCCGGGAACTTCCAAATTGTCTATTTCTGATACGTAACCGTCCTCTATCAGGTCATTTAACTCTTGGAGATGTTTTGGGTTGTCGAAGTCATATTTTTTTCTTTAATGTAATAATTGTAATCTTGTCATCCATGTTATCTGCAATCAACAATACTAAGTTAAAACCCAAGTTTAGACCATATGTACATACCGATGTACAATCAGAAATATGCTTTCAGATTACTTGTACATGCTCATGTGCATCTAAAAAATGTTTGTTTATTTCAAAACTATCGTTTTTATGGCAATGTTTTGTACTTTATAAAAAACTACTTACCTTATAAATCACACTTAAAAAGTTGGATCTATTTCGTTTCACAAAAGATAACAGTTTCTCGTAAAATAAAACTAGCAGTATCGGTTACCAACTAAACAGCTGACACTTTACAACAAAATCGCTGACAATTTTACCTGTTGATCACTAGATGGACGCAGAAGTTAAAAATGTGGATCGTAAATGTATATTTGAGTGACTGAATGCTATTTCGGTATAGATAAGCTAGTAGTTGGTATTTAACAAAACAATAAAAGCTATGTACATACACATGTACACAGGGTCTTAAAGGGTTAAAATGCATTGATTAAAGCAGAAACCTTTATATCACAATTAATTAACGAAAACAAATACTTCATGGATATCTTTCTAGATATCTAGAAAGCCTTCGATCAGGTCTTGTACGCAGGTCTGATTAATATACTCTGAATCAAAGTTGCCAACACGCTATCCACACCATTCAGAGGTTCGAATCCCCAGGGATCATTTCTAACTCCAATACTGTACACAGTCTATAACAGTGACATTCCATACCCTCTAACTAGATTGGAGCGACGCGACGCCAAGATAACCGTTTGTATTCGAAAGAGCTTAAAATAATTTAAATGGAATTGTTGGGTAGTACACTGGATGAAGAGTTACAAATAACACCTTTAAAACTTAACTAATATTATTCAAATCTCCCCACAGCCGTAATACTCAGGGACAGATAACCCTTTTAGGAGAAAACCTTAATTTTAGAAACTCTTAACTGAAAGACCGACATTTCTGCTCGAATATGTTTGTACAAAACTGCATGTATCAACGAAAGGATAAAGTCATAACATTACTCGATTACGAAAAAGCGTTTGACACCGTAAAACATGACGCAATGATAAAAATGCTACACAACGCTAACATTGACGAGAAAGATATGAGTTATCCAGAATCTTTATTGGAATCAAAAAGCACGAGTGAGACTGAACAAATCAACCAACGCAGAAGAATTTGAAATTTCAAGAGGGGTGCGACAGGGGTGTATTTTGTCTCCTATGCTCTTTAATCTCTATGTGGAGAATATTCTTGCAGTGGCACTGGAAGGCTCTGAGTGTGAAATAGAGGTAAACGGGTTCCCGATAAATAACATTCGTTACGCCGACGACACCGCGATAATAACAGACAACGAACATGATATGCGGTTGATGTTAAATAAAATAAAAACCGTAGGAAAAATATTTGGCTTGAAGATAAATGCTGCAAAAATTAAATGCATGACAATAAGAGAAAACGCACTTTTAAGAATACAACTGCAAGTAGATAATACTCCAATCGACTGGGAATTGATGATGAATGACCAATGGGATCCTTAACAAGAAATAAAATGCCGTACCGAATAAGCAAGATAAACTTTTATTAAATTTAAACCGCTACTATGTAACTGCAATATTTCCTTCAATCTCCGCTACAAGATGGTTAAATGCTATGTACGGTCCATATTGTTATACGGCATGGAAACATAGACGTTAAGAGTACCTTTATTAATAAGTTGGAAATATGGAAGTTGCGAAGAATGTTCCGCATACCATGGACAGATAGGGTGAGAAAACAGGAAGCCTTAAGAAAGGCAAATACTGAGAGAGATCTACTTAATTTGAACAAGGTACGAAAAATTGGATACCTCGGCTATATTCTAAGAGGGAAAAAATACGCAATCCATCAACTAATCATCCAGGGATTGGATGACAACCAATATTGAGGAAAAGAGAGGAGTAGGTCGCAAACAAATGTCGAGGCTACGGAACATAAAAAACTAGACAGGCGTAAATAACACTGGCGATCCTTTGCCTGTCGCAGAAGAGAAACGTCTGACAGAAGTTAATTCGCCAACACACTATAGATACAAGGTACTATAAGAAGAAGAAGGACACCTACAAGATCTACATAAGACCAATAATTGAATACAAGGCGTGTGTCTAAGCATTGATAAATGCTCACCAAATTAACACTGTTATTGCCACCGAAAGAAAAATCCTTAGATTTTGCACGAGGAAGCGTCAGAACTAATCCACCAAATAGCAAACATAACAACGATTAGGGTCAGAATCCGAACGATCAGTAAAATATGTGTCCTTCGCACTATAGCTAGCTCTAACAACCGAGCAAAGCAAATACTCAAAACTCTTTGCCATCGCCGAGGGCAAATACTTACCGGGACTACCCAAAGAAAACTTCCATTCCTTCCAGCAAAACTTCTTCTCAACACTGGAAACTATCTTCCCAATGAGTATTTGGACTTCCTAGAAGAAATCTTTTTAAAATATCGCAGTTAACAACTGCAACCAAAAAATTCTGATTAAGAGTCGGTCCTAGTATGACTGGTAACTCGAAGTACTTCTTGCTTGTCTGGCTGACCAACAACGCCACCTTTTAAACCCCAGATCTTTAGCACTCCACCACCAAAAACCAATACACAAAATCAATTTTCACGTTTATCATACCTCCTAGCTCGGCAAAAAATAAGAGGAGCAACCCTTCCTTGAAAAGGCAGAAAACCTAAACAAGGTAAAAATGTTCAGATCGAGTCAAATATTTGGGCAAAATTTTCTACTACAGTTAGCAGAAGAATTGCGATAAGATCATATGACTAAGAAAAGGACAAATAAATGGATGTAAATCCAAGGAATACAACAAAATAATTAAATAATATACAATGCCAAATAGAGAATTGCAACAAAAATAAAACATGTGATGTTTGTCTAAATGAAAAATAAATTGTATGTGGGCCTTGTACAAGCAAAACTAAAAAAATTTTACTACTAGATAAATTGTGCTTAAATATTTAAATTACCTAAATATGTCCTTTATTACTAGGTATTAAATAGGTTTTTTTTCAAGTCAAAAAGAATACAAAAACGGGTGGAAATGTTACTGCTTCTGGTGTTAAGGCAGTTAAAAGCCTATGAAATGTAGATATGAAAGATTCTTAAAAATACTTTGAATGGATCATGTACGCAATAAAGAGGTTTTTCGAAGTTTTTATTAAGAAAGAGAGTCAATTTTTAATATCAAAAAGAAAATAAAACTTTATACGTTGGCCCTGTTATAAGAAACCATGTTAATAGACCAGAGGGAACTCAGGAGACGCAACAATTGGTGGTGAAAAAATCTAAACCTATCCAGTATATTGTACTGGTTTGGACTTAAATTACTAGACATAACTCTGCTGAGATTTTGGCCAAACTTTAAAGATGCCACAAGAAGAAGAATTTAGGTCTTATTGATAATTTACTGAAAAATTAAGTCAAATATGTAGGTACCAAAATACTTGCAGTACTAAGCAAGACAATACAACATGTAATTTAACTCTGTTATTTCATTAATTTAAAACACTATTCATGAGTTACTCATCGCACAGGTCTACTGCTCACTAATAATGAGAAGGTTTAAGAGACAATGATCTAGACTAGAACGACTAAATATTTAAATTACCTTTGATATTGTAGATTATATATTAATTTTTAAATAAAAAACACTTGGACTATGGTAATATAAAAGATATTGTCACGAATATTTAACATTTCTTCTTTTTGTTTTTGGCATTTAACTTTTCATAACATACTACTAAATGTTCAGTAAGCGGTACTTCCTCTGTTTGTAAACACATTTTGTATTCCAATTTACCTTCTTTATTTAAACAAAAACACCTTCTAATTCCACAAACCTTCTTCGGGCAGAATTTCGAATGGGATATAATAGTTGCGTCAACCTGTATAGAATTGTTTTCAAGCTTACCATCTTCCACTGAACATATTCCAAAATTCTGCGATGTTAACAACGTGACACTGCATCCATCTTCCATTATTCTCAAGTGACCGCCTTCCACATGCATGTATTTCGTATTTTTTTCATCCCATGTTAATGAATTGTATATAAGAAAAGGGTCACCAATACTAGAAAATGTTAAAAGTTCGTGGTATTTTACAGGTTCTTTCATAGTTGGAAACACACTACAGGCGTTAATAGATTTCCATGTTCCCAGTAACCAGGAAAGAGGTTTTACTACATCTGCTATTTTTGTAGTTTTAGATGCCATCTTACAGCCAATTTAAAACTCTTTAGAACCGAAAGTAATTTTAGTACATTGAATTTATGGAATAATGTATGTAGTATTAAAAATTAACATAAATAAAAATAATTTGAAATGACAGTTATGTGACAATTGGATTTGTCAAATAAGTAACTTCGTTTCAAATTATTTTTCTTACAAAAATCTAATGGGCTAAAACAATAAATCAAATATTAATATTATGTTATAGAAAAATGATGAAAATGTCAATATGAGTCCATAATACTAATATATGGGAGATATGTCAATCCTCACAATCTTATGTAAGCTTTTGATTGTTGTTAATGTTTTCGGCTACCGTTGTTTCGAATATTACAATATATGAGGAATTCTACAAAAATTCGCACCTTAACTGGAGCCAAATATAGTGATATTGCAGTTTGCTGCCCGTACCCCGCAGTAACAATTTTTTTCTGTAGGTTGATACCAAAAAACATGTTTTCAGAAGCAAGCCTAAAAAAAATGGCAAATTTAAGTTTTTTCCAACAAAAAACTGATTTGTTCGCTAAAGCTATTTCATTCTTCTGGCAATCTGCCTCGAAAAACGAGTAAAAGGGACTTTTATACTTAGAGCACACATACATATCAGGTACCAATCGCTTCGTCTTTGTCTCCAAAAGGAACTCTGATGCTTTGAAGAGCCAAGAAACACCTACTCAAAGAGTGGCAAGCGGTTATTCATATCGACGTTTTTTTTTTTCTTTTTTTCGCGATTTTACCCGAAAATAGATTAAAAGATACCTCTATAGTTGGAGCACACATACATATTAGGTACCAATCGCTTCGACTTGATCCCCAGAATGAATTCTGACCATTTGAAGAACCAAGAAACACCTGCTCAAACAGTGGCAAGCGGTTATTCAGTCCCTAAAATCGGCGTTTTTTTGCATTTTTTGCGATTTTACCGAAAAATCAAGTTAAAATGACTTCCGTGTTGTTTTTTAAATCGACCAGAGCATACACAAAGAGTTTTATCAACTCAAGTTTTATGTAAAATAGAATCGCCAGAACTAACTAAATTTAGAAATAAAATAATGTACAATATCAGTGAAAATCAGAAAACAATTATTGAAAATAATGTAAAAAATAACATAATTATATGATATATTTGGTGTAATTTATATACTTAGTTAATATAATTTCTTTTTGAATCTAAAACAGTATTAAAATTTTGTTTATTTCATATTACTCGAGCTTTAATATTTATTGTTTCTGCTAAACACAAGATTATTTAATATTATATGCCAAGTTCTTTTTTATAGTGTTTAATTAATAAAGAATAAATATATTTATACCATTGTAAAATAGTATCTATCAATAATAACAAATTTAGAATGTTTTTGATGTATTGTATTCTATGTATTTATTTTATTTTACTTGACTAACTTTTATCTCGTTCTAATACTCATACTAACAAAAAAAAGTTTGTTATAAAAAAAAGAAGAAAAAAAAATGGAATCGTATTTTCTTACTAAAAACACAATAAATTAATATGTGAAGGTTTTCAGCTATATTATAATTTACTATCTATAATTTGATGAGTGTATCAGGCTACATACTGAGGATCAAGTCACCAGCTCCCGATAGGTTGATGTACCTCACTTATGCAAGTCATTTTAACTTGATTTTCCGGTAAAATCGCGAAAAAAATGAAAAAAAACGTCGATTTTAGGGACTGAATAACCGTTGCCACGCTTTGAGCAGGTGTTTCTTGGTTCTTCAAAGGGTCAGAATTCATTCTGGGGATCAAGACGAAGTGATTGGTACCTAATATGTAGGTGTGCTCCAACTATACAGGTCTCTTTTAATCTATTTTCGGATAAAATCGCGAAAAAATGAAAAAAAACGTCGATTTTAGGGACTGAATAACCGTTTTCCACGCTTTGAGCTTTTTTTTTTTGGTTCTTCAAAGGGTCAGAGTTTATTCTGGGGACCAAGACGAAGCGATTGGTACCTAATATGTATGTGTGCTCCAACTATAGAGGTATCTTTTAATCTATTTTTGGGTAAAATCGCGAAAAAATTAAAAAAAAACGTCGATTTTAGTGACTGAATAACCGCTTGCCACGCTTTGAGCAGGTGTTTCTTGGCTCTTCAAAGGGTCAGAGTTCCTTCTGGAGACCAAGACGAAGCGATTGGTACCTGATATGTACGTGTGCTCCAAGTATAGAAGTCTCTTTCACTCGTTTTTCGAGGCAGATCGCTAGAAGAATGAAATAGCTTTAGCGAACAAATCAGTTTTTTGTTGGAAAAAACTTAAATTTGCCTTTTTTTGAGGCTCGCACCTGAACAACATGTTTTTTGGTATCAACCTACAGAAAAAAAATGTTACTGCGGGGTACGGGCAGCAAATTGCAATATCACCATATTTGGCTCCAGTTAAGGTGCGAATTTTTGTAGAATTCCTAATATGCTCTATAATCAGCCCAAAGTGCATACGTCTTTGTTCTAATAAAAACTATGAGTTAAAAACGACATGTTGACAGAACAGTTTAATGAGAGAGAAGAGAACTGTAAAATTATTTAAGTGGGAAAAGTCACCCAATATATTGAGACATCATAGGCATTTGCTATAACCTGTCTAATGAAAACTGTACAATTTAGTCAGTCGGTAATTAGTTAATAAATAAAGATTTAAAATAAAAAAGTTTTAAGATAAACCTATTATAAATAAAATAGTTACGACTTGGATCCCTACTACAGAGCTTTCTTGTGTCTGATATGTAAGTCGTAACTCTTTCATATAATACAGGGCTTCCCAAACTTATTCGTACTGTGACGCACTTGGAGACTTTGCTTTTTTTGTGACGCCCCTCAACCCAACCACCAATAATACTTAGAAATTTTAGTACTAGCTTTGTAACAGGTTATAGTTATAACAGAACCACTGTTAAAAAAACTAAATTAAAACATAGGCACAAAAATTTAAAAAAAGAATTATTTAGGTAACTGGCCGGTTAATGTACGGAATGTGTTTGCCTTTTGAACAAAGCTTATAAAACCGGGGCTTCAGTTTGGAAATTGCCACTTTTATTCCTTTTGTGTTTTCTGTTTATATTTGATCTCTACTGGTTTTTAATTATTGCAACTGCAGAAAAGCCTGTTTCCCACAAGTTATGATGTTGCAAACGGTAATAAAACCTTTAATGAAGCAGTGGTGATGATATTGATATGAAAAGTTTTAAAACTTTTTTTGCTTTAACAATTTCTTCCTGAAATTGTACATAAGTAGCGATACGAGAATTAATTTTATATGTTTTTAAAACATCTTTTGTGGCAGAAACAACTAGTTCACATTTAAAATCTCTTCAAGGAGAAAGTGATCGTTCCAATGTGTCTTATAAGAAGACCCAAGTAATTTATTTTGACAAATCAGGAGAGCATAACGTAATATCAACACTATATTGTGTCATACCGGGAAGGCTTAAACAGGTTGGTTGGCCATTATTTAGAGTACCTAAATCAGAATATCAGTGGAATTATTAATTTGATGCCTAATACCATTATTTTTAATTGAACCTTACAAGCTGTTTTTTGCATGCATATTACCATACTTATAATACAAGTAAAGTGAAATTGTTCCTGTATTTTACACCAATCTATGGAAGTTTATCGAACATCAGGAGGTCTATAAATTGATGCAAAATTAATATCAGAGTTATTATATTTTTAAGTGATTTCACAAACAAGAATATCTTAATTAAAATTTTGTGTAATATAAATTTCTTCCAGCATATCTATATTTTGTGCACCTCAAGAAGGCATTTGACAAGGTTAAATTTAAAGACGGTATCCACTTACTGTACGCAATAGTAATACTAGGAATAATTAAGACGATCGACAATATCTACCAAAACAATACAACAAAAGTAAAAGTAGAAGAAGAACTAATCGACCTTATTAAAACCGCAATGGGATAAGACCTAATTATGGATGAAATAATAAAATAAGTAAGAAGCAAAAAGGATACCAAGTGGGAAAAAACAACTTAAAATAATCTGCTATGCAGACGACGCAATATTCCTCTCTCAAAGCGAAGGTGATTTACAACGTATGCTGCACCAATTTAATATAACCGCCAGAAAATTTAACATGTTAATTTTCCCAAAAAAGACAAAATGCGTGGTTACAACAGCAAATTTACTAAGATGTAAATTGGATCTGTAAGGTCAGATAATAGAACAAGTGATGGAGTTTAAATATCTAGGCACCACATTGTCTAGCTACGAAAAGCTCAGAACTGAAGTAGAAGATCAAGTGAATGGAGCAAACAGAGCCGCATGCTGCCTATATGAAACAGTATGGAGAAATAAAAATATTGGAAAAGAAACAAAATGCAAAATTTACAAAACAGTCATCAGACTAATAATAACATACGCGGCAGAAACCAAACCTGACACAGAAAGGACAAAAAGGATGTTAAAAACAGCAGAGATGAAAACAATTAGAAAAATTAATGATAAAGCACTATGGGACAGAGACTAGAAGTACAGATATACGACGTAGATACAAGGTGGAGAACATCAAGAACTGGATGAGAAATAGAAGAGTAAAATGGAACCATCATATAAGCCGAATTACAACAAATAGGGTAGTGAAGACGGCAAGAGACGGTTCCCCAATAGGAAAACTATCAGTAGGAAGACCGCGAAAATCAATGATGAAACGTCAACTTACTAGAGGTACATTAAAAAACAAACATGGTTTTGTCTATAGGTCTATATAAAAATATGAAGAAAAAGAAGAAGACAAATTTCTTTAAAACAATGTATAGATTTTATAAGTATATTCACTCTTGCGTAACATGTCTTACTCAACATAGCAACATAAATATAATTTTCATTTAAAAAATGTGTTAATCTAATTTGTTGTCGACAGCAGATCTACAATTTCATTGCATAATTTTAAATTTATTTAAGGTACAGAAAGAAATTGCATGATTTATGTTTTTATTTAATTGTCTTAAGATTTTAAATCATCCAATGTACGTATACAGTTATACAAAATCAAGGATCAGAGGAACTTCCAGATATAACCGAAGAGGAAATCAAATCAGAGTTGAAAGGTATGAAGAACAGCAAATCACCT